AACTACCCAAATGTACTAAAATAAAACTCTGTAAACGTTCACATCTCTGAAGGAGGGTCTGAATGGGGGGGTCAAAATGTCGGTTGTCGGTTAAAATTTCATTACTTTGTCGGTTGTCGGTTAAGATTTTTGACCTTTGTCGGTTGTCGGTAAATCTCAGTTAATAATTAAAAATACACGTTAATTATTCACATTTATTATGCAATTTGCCCAGTTTTAAGACTTTAAACTCTAGACGAAGTGTAATACTTGTAATAATTCATTATTTGTTTTCACTTAAACCTCGTTAACGCTGTTTTTTAATTTAGCAACGTGCTCATCTACCCCACTTTTGTTTGCAAATCGATAAAATTCACCAAAGCTTTTATTATAGATGTGAATTTGTTTCCTGTCGACTACGGGGCATCGAAGTAAATCAAGAGAGGTAAATTCTACAAAGAATGATACACCCACTCTAGCCCCTGGGATACCTAATTTTAATTTGTAAGCTACGGAAGTCTTTTTTCCGAGACGTCCACAAAAACTCACTACACTTATTATTCAACGGCTCTCGTGGCTTTTCTGCGAGGTTTCTTTTTTTTCTCTTTTTTTTTGGCCAAAAATTTGGTTGTCATACGTATCAATCTGCACCGTTAAATGGATTTTTTAACTGTTAGTACCTCTTACATGTCGAGACGCACAAATGCACGAACAGCCTTGCCGGATCGGGTAACACACGCTCTGTTGACAACCTCTGGATCTTCAAAATCTGATTCCTCGTCATCCGAATCTGTCTCATACTCATCGATTTGTACTTCTCTGTGATCCTCAAACACCTCAGTAACATCCCCTTCGTCCACAAATTGTATGCTGACAACGCGTTGTGCATTTGCTGACGATACAGTGTTTTCTTCAGGATATCGAAGCCTCTCTTCAGACTCGTCGGTGTGGTGAACGGCGTAGACAGCTGGTGGCAAGGCCCCAGCCTTATCTTTTGTGGTCTCACTCCTAACCGTCCGTTGGCGTACTGGTCTGTAACTCCCTAGCCACTCTTTGATCTGTCCTTCCATCCCTGGTGTTATGTCCTCACTTGGCAAAGGTGTCATCGTAGCTATAGCAGAAAGGGGCATGGCGGATTGAGGTACCGGATAGTAGGATTTGTCATGCGTGTAGTACTTTGCTGCCCATCTAGATGTGCGCTTCAGAGATTCCTTGCAAATTGTTCCAAAATCCTGGGCATATGTAAGTACCGTAAATGTCTCGTGTTTAAGGTGCGAAACAGCGTGCAAATTTTCCACTACTGTTGTGAGCAACGTTTCGAGCAGCAGATCATCTACAAATTGGGGGTTAATGTTCATCACGTTCTTGTATAGCCTTTCTATGCCCTTTTTAAGCAAAGACACAGATACTTGCGTCTTCTGTGATACAGTTCCCTGTGGACCATTGGTTGCAGACGTCTCGCTCAACTGGTAGCGTTCTTTCACCTTACTCACAGTGTCTTTTACATAGCTGTCAATCTTTGTCACGTTCTCTTTTGCTTGTTTCAAGGACACTCCGTCTGGTTTCATACCCTTAGAATGAATTCCAAAGGTATCGTAAAGGGAACCAAGAATCACCAGAAAAGATACCGTTTCTGAGAGGCTCGTCACTATCTTCAGTTTTCCAGCGGAAACATCTGTAACAAACAAGTTCTTGTCTACAGAGCATTTCCCTTCGATTTGTTTGAATGAGCATGAGTCTTGTGTCCCATCGGAAGAACTGTTGTGGCCACTTCCTACCAAAATCCTAACTGATTTATCATCAGGGTTGTATTGCATAACCTTTCCCGCCTTTGTATCCGTGTAAACTACCCTCCCGTTCAAGGTGCATACTTGGTTTACCTCAGAGCAAGGAAGAGTCGAGTTGCATACAGCTTTGGTCACTGTCTTTGCGCTAAGTTCACATTTATAAAGCCCACCTTGGCTCGAGGCTCCTGAGCAGAATGCGCATTGGTCAAGTAGAGTAATAGACAAAAGATTTATGATGCTGGATGGATAGGCAGTGAATTTCGTAGCATTGCCGTGAATGGTCACTCCATCAAATGACAATGTTATCTGATAGACATATTGACTCTCGTCATCACTGCAAAATAACAAATCATTGCTTGCAGCATAGACAGCAGAAGGCTTACCAAGACGATTAGGATGCATCTGGACGTGTTCTGCACAGTCCGTGTTCTTAGAAATGGCACCCAAGTGGTCCTTAAGTCTTTCGCGCAAAACGGGAACCGTTCCATCCGTTGGGAGAGATAGTGCCTCTAAGTGCCTCAGAAGTTCAGCTCGTCGCTTGAGTGACTTTGTACTTATCTTCACTTTTCAGTTCGCACTTCGCTATCGGCCATGGAATCAGCATCTAACTTTTTAAGATCTTCTTCCCTACCTGAGAAGATTGAGAATTTACAAATTTTTTGTTTTCTGTGTTTTCAGCCATGATTTGGGCTTTAAAAATAGCTCCACGGTTTCTTTTACCAACGCTACAAGAAGACGGCGCGAACATTGGTTGTCTTGGTTTATTTTTAAAAATACATTTTAGCCCGGCAAATTCTTTATTTTAGCACGCAAAATGCGCCACAATGCCCATCAAAGTGATAATAATACAGTTTTTAGCCGGAATTTAAAAGAAACTATCTTTACATAGCGAACGCACCAAGTGAGCGTTTTTCTTTGTATAAACAAGGCAGTGTTTATAAACAAGGAATACCGCAGAATTTCCAAAGTAGCGAAATTTATGACTTTTGAAAATCAGGTAAACGAACTACAAGTGTTAATTCAGCCCTACCATCCTGAAACTTTTGAAGGTCTCCTTGTTGCCTTTCGTTTCTCTCGATGTCACCTCCTTCAGTCATGATCCTCTTTGCCAGATTTTCATCTTCTTTTGCTTCTTCTCGTGATTTCCGTTTCCTTCTCACTTTTGACTCGTCACCTTTCTTCTCAGTGTCGTTCATTGACTTCTGCTTGCTTTTATCAGATGTAGCCGGCGCCTTCAGCAACACTACTGGCTTTCCGGTCCAGTTTGTGACCTCTTGGATAATGTGTACTAAAATATTAAATACCGTGTGTTTTAAGTTTTCTCTTTAGTAGGCTTTTGAGAAACTTACACAGTTCTTATCAGCAAATGCTCGTCAAGATGTATAAAACGTGCACATCGAGCGAAATCTCTCGTGCGTAGCTTCCCTCGAGGAGAGAATTGAATATTATTTGAACGTCTGGTTTTCAGAAACGAATAAATTTAAGGGCGTGTATAAATAAACGGGGTCTTTAATATGTTAAGCTACACTGTTGTTCATTCACCAATTAATCAGAAAGAAGCTTATAAACTGATTTACTCGCTACTTCTTTGTAGAGATTTTTCTTCTCAATTTTCGCATTCAAATGGACGGTGAAAAAGAAAAAAAAAACATTCCGCTCCACAAAACAACAAACAAAAAACGGTGGAACCAGAGTTTAACCACGTTAATATTTGAGCTTAATATTTAACTACAGAACTAAAGTGATTCATCAAACTCCGCTGCACGCGTTCCACACTTACCGTTGAGCTCACTGCTACTTTCATCCGATATTAAATTTGGAAGTTCAAGCTGCCATTGCCCATCCGTCACAATTGCAAAATTTTCGCATTTGCCCGCAGGCGATTTCGCCAGGCGAAATAACTTTAACGAAAATCCGCCAATTCCATATTGATGTGCCTGCTCCTTTAGTCCTAAAAACTCCGTAAGATGGTTTTTTAGTTCAGATGTTTTTTTAGTTCAGATACTCCTCTATGAGCTTCTTTGTCTACTGGGACCCTGCTTCGATGAAGTTCGATGGCGACTTCTTCACCTTGTCGAAAAAAACTCACGATGACTTTAGCAATCCCAGTCATGACCCGACCGCATGAACAAACAACGAGCAATAAAAAGACAACAGCAGGGCGTCTCGTCGGCTCGACTGTGCTCCATTGTTCTTGAAATGAGACAGCAGGGCGTCTTGTCAGCCCGATTACGAGCCGCTGTTCTAGAAATGAGCCCACGCTGCTCACCGAAAAGAAGGATCCCGTGGATTTAAAGTAATTTGAAGACAAGAAATTCTATAATTCGGCTAAATTTGGAATTAATGTGGTTACGTCGGGTGAAGAAGGATTTTCTGAGCTAGAAATCATCAAAATGCTGTTCTCTCTGAATACAAACATCCCTATCACGTCTGACCATGTCGGTTGTCGGTTAGAATTTATTTGTCGCTAGTCGGTAATTTTTTCCCCGTTTCGTCGGTAGTCAGTAATTTTTTACGCCCTTTGTCGCTAGTCGGTTAACCCCATTCACACCCTCCTGAAGCGGTCTTGGTCATGCTTTGGACTTCCTAAGCATCTAATTCTTTTGTTTTGCGCATATATCAAACGGTTACTTCGTGAAATTACAAGTTAAAATAATGTTCATTTGAACTAAAACCTGCACCTTTGTCAGAGTATGCTGTGTCAAAATTGGAGCTAAAAAGTAAAGAATAGATCCAGATTATAAAAATCACACTTTATCTTAACTACATTTGCGCAAATGCCAAACCTCAGGTGTGGAGGGCTCTGCTTCGCGTTATTCTTACATTCAGGAGAAGGACGGACCTTTAGGTAATTATTCGCCAGCTCTTAAGATTTAGAGGCATACTTCAAGTTTAAGGAGACATGCAAAAAAGTTATAGGTTGATGCCCATTTTCACTCGCCTGTTCAATTATGTTTATTTTACAAGAGCGTTGAGATTTGTCTTCTCCAGAAGTCGGGTTGAAATCTCACACAAATATCGTTCTCAATCAAATAAACCGAGTGATAGAACTACAATTCGGGGTCTGGTACTACGTTCACGCGCCCAGTGAACCGCCCACATAAAGTGGTCAGCTTGCTAGTAAAGAATGGGGTATCGATTTATATGGTTGATTTTATTCGCTAAGTCGTGCTAACCATCTGCCAAATTCAGAACTTTTCCATATCATAACCGTAGCGAATACTTAAATGTTTATAGCGAGATAGCCTGGGTGCATACTAACAGTAAATAATTTATATCTCAATGATTTATCTGTAGAGGCACAACAGTGATAATGTTAAATTATCTTTTATTAACATCTAAAAGGCCAAATTTAGCCTGCATGCAAATTCATCTAAAAGTGATCTTACTTAAAATCACTTGGCATGCCCCAAATGTCAGTAGGAAGATAGTGCGGTAAATACTTTAAACCCAGGGGTTGGCAGTTGATCATATGGTCAAACTGTTTGCATAATAGTCTCCTAAAAAAGGTCTGTTGTCAGTGAAAGTTCCTAACATTTGGACAACATGAACAGAAGTAAGTTAAGTGACCCTACTGATGACTTCCTTTCAGGTTGTCAGAGTCTCAGTGACCGCCACTGACAACAATCCCTTTCAGGACAACTCTCATATGGACAGTATGATCGACTACAAAGATAGCGTGGAATCCACCACTGGAAAATGCAACCTATGCCTTTCTGCATGAAGCTATAAATGTAAGTCATCTAAGATTTTTTATACCAGAATCCCTCATATTATCATGAAATGTTAAAAAATTAGATTTATATCAAAAAAAAAGAATTGCTGTCTTAATTTTTCTTTGAATGCCATTTAAAAAGGCAATACAAAACAATGAGATAAAAAAGTTTCCAAGGGCTTTTTGTAGACCAAAATGAGACTGTCTTGTGCAAATTCCCTTAAATGCTAAGTGGGACCCCTCTTCTGAAAGCTCCAGGCTATGCTGATGGGAAGACTTGCTCTGGCCAGCTACTGCTAGGGAATCAAGTTTATGCACCTTCCTTGGGTAGGAACAAAAAGTAGACTCCAAAGAGTGACAGAAATTGGGCCTAGCTCCTAAGCTATGAGTAAATAAATGCCATCCAATTTCAATTTAAAACAAACTCCAATATGGAAACTAAAAAAAGTTCTCAACTCTTAAATTACCATACTTAAACTATTTCCTGTAACCTATCATTTACCACAGAAGGTAATTTCAAATTACTCCTTAAGACATGATTAACATTCTATATTTTTCAAAACTTCTATTTTTATCATTGTGATACTTCAATGAGTAGTTGACAATTGACTCTTGAAATGTTATAAATTTTATAATTTCTATGACTCTTTTCTAGCAACTTCAATGTTAAGATTCATTTTTTGACGAATTCGTGTCAACCTCATCTTATTGTATTTATTATCAGAAAATGGGACAAAGAAAAAGATCTGAAAAACAAAGGCACATAGAAAATATCAGTAAATTTGTTGACTCAATGTGGAGTTTAAAAAGGCAAATACTTACAGATTCTGAACAATTTTTGTTCATTGTGTAAAGGATAATGTAAAGGGATGAGTGGAAAAAGCCCCATGTGACCACTGGTAAAATGCCAGATTCTCCTTCCATATTGTCATGTCTTTCCTTGAGAATCAAAAAAGAATTTGATGTTGGAGCAAAGGTCACTTGAGGCTTTTTTTCCCTTCAAATTCAGGATGATGTCTAGATCCAACCTAACTCTTCATTATAAAGGGAATTTGAGGTAAGGTCATGGAGAGCTGGTAAAAAAAAGAAAACTCTCGTGGTGTTCTCTAGTAAAACACTTTTATCTCAACATGCCCCTCTCCAGCCAGGAGTATAAATGGCTACCAGCACCAGGGAGACTAAATGAAATGAGAAAGGGTAACCTGGGATGGACTGGGAGAAATAATATTCCTATTCATCTAACAGAAACTGTGAGAAGTTCTGCCTGTGTGAGTCACTTGAATTAAGTACTGACTTTCCTTCAGTGCAGTGAATATTAATCTCTATTAATGTGAATCTAGACATTGATAACTGAGAGGCCTGGACTGGGTACAGGCAGGGTGCATATTAGTATTTTCCCTTTCCTTAAGATTGAGCAATTTGTTCAGTATACAAGTCATAAGAGCCAATGGCTATTCACCATGCTAAAAATTTGCATTTTAATTGCAAAATTATTTTAGTATATTACTGTTTAGGTGTGTACATGTTATTAGTAATCTAGCAAGCGAGCAACAAGTTTATTTCTAGCTTTTAGAAAGTTTTAGTTTCCGTCCCATCCACACCATCAACAGTTTTGATTGTATCTTAATCTAATTCGTGTTTGTAATTTATTCTTGATTACTGGACTGTTGGTTTAGTGCATTCATCAAATATTTTTTATGTAATAGTCTTGTGTTATTTACATAGGATATACACATTCAATAAACTGTCTGGTCCCAAAACAAGCCTCTGTCTGTTGTGGTGTTTAGGAGACTGTTTGATAGCATTATGAAGGTGACTGTTATGAGTTTGCTCAAAATAGATGGGTTTTGGAATAATTCCAAATGGAAATTTTGTCTTTAAGCTCTAAAATTGTTATAGAAGAACACTATGGATAATAACAACTTACAGGTGATCACTGAGTGAGTAATACTAAGATATAATACTAAGAATAACATCAAAGCTTATTGGTTGATCATTATGTGTTGATCAATTCCAAGCTTCAATGTCCCCCCCCTTCCTGTGCATTTGACCTTTTGAGATTGGTTTCTTTATATTCCTGCCCCCCTCTCTCCCCCCCAGGACAAAAACTGCATTAAAATGCCCTATCCAAGCGCAACTTTTTATTGAACAATTGTTTGTGATCAATAAATGTTTCAGAATTTAGCAAAGGTTTTGGTTCCACTGTTAGGTTTTTTTTGCCTGTAAGCATCATTCTACAATGTGAAAATTTTTTTCCAAGATATTTTCTCATGAAAGCAGACTCCAAACTCTTTAAACTCCTTGGGTTAAGATACCAGTGGGGTATGCAGGGGAAAGGAGAGGGGGATGTTGAAGCCTCAAATTGATCTGCACATTTAGAGCTTTTTCCTACCATGTTTAGAAGAAAGGCAAATGGAATCATCAAAGGAAGAAATCCAGTTGAAAATGACTTTGCCTTTGGAAAAAAAATATCACAGTAAAGGTTATTTCTTCAGTGTCATAAATAAATAAATAATATTTCAAGCTAGAGGAAATTTTTTAACTTAATGAAGATGCCTTGTGGAGGAGCATGTTTGTGGTGGATACTCAGACCCTTAATGTGTTACATGCAGGAGAATTGTTGACAATTCTACTTGTGAGTTTATCAACAGTCCTTGGAGGGTAAGCAAGCCATCAAAAGGAGCCTTCATGTGTATGAGCTGTGCAACATTGCTTCTGCCAGTTAAATTATATTTATTTAAAATTTTCAGTATTTTAGTTATCAAAAACATTTAGAGACCCTATGATAGAGGGCTTTTCACTTCACAATTTTACAATTAATAATAACCAACTTTCTTTACTTACCTTCGCAAGAGTTCCTCTCTCCTGCCCTGGTTGAAATTCTATTTCCACAATGTCCAGCCACTCAGCTTCAGTATAAGAAAATATTTGCACAAAATGTCTTTCATGATGAATCTACAGAAGACAAGTAGTTTAAATAAATGTCCCTAAGGCAAGCTTACTACTATCTCAAAACAAGTTGAAGTGTGCTATATGCACCTTAAACTAAGTTTTAATGGATTATGAGGTACCCTTGCATCTTTAACCTGAGAATCTTGGTTATTTTCTCTAGCCTTGGTTAACTTTGAGTTCTCTGGGATCTTATCTCCTCAAAGCCCCAATGGTTGGTCAACCAATTCCCTAAAAACTTTTAACATGCCTCTGTTTTTCTTCCAGTGTCTCCATACAACCAGTAGAATACCTGGGTATAAGCAAAGTGTCCCAAAAACCTGACTAAAAAACTGAGGGGAAAGGGGAGGGGGATAACCTTTGAAATATCAGCAACACATCCAGGTGAAGAAGCACAATTCCTTGTCACTTTGTGGAATGAAAACTGGGATAGGTTGCATGCAGTGGAGTCGGTCTCCTGCTTGGCTCATTGGTCGCCTAAATGCAATTGACCACCCTTATATTGCATGAAACCAGAAGTATCTCAAATTTCACCATTTTTAACTTTTTTTCAGACACATCTTTCAAATTTTTGTGAGAGTCCTAAAAGTTTCATGTCAAAATGGTTTGATACAATTAAAGGTTTACTAAAGTACTGAAGTCTGCTCTTCACTCGCCTTATTTATATGCATCTTCTCAGTTTCACTAAGTAAGGATATGGCTGATACCAAATGTTCTAAACACACTTCTGGAGTTGCTTCTGGTATTATCCACCTTAATGTTTTAATAAAAATATATCAACATATAATTTTTAAGTCAAATAAAGTACGAACATATTATTTTTAATTTGGCTGGTCAAAAAAATTCAGGCAATTATCTGATATGAAAACCATATAACTTTCAGAACAGTCTACCTTTGGAACAATTACCTGTAAATAGCAACCCCCTCACAGCTTTAGCTCTCAAAATCTTACTCTCTGCATTGTCTACCTCATGGCTCAACTTAATAAATTCACTAGAAACTCTATGAGGTATATTCCCCAGCGTCTCCTTATGATGTCTTTAACTACTAAGACCTGATTGTTAATTCTCCCCTCTAGAAACTATGCATTTCCCTATAAATTTAGTAGGAGAATTTGGTGTTTGATCAAGATAACAACATCCACCTAATAAAATCGAATATTCTCATTACCTATTTGCTGGATAATGATTGATATTATGAGGAGAAATTACATGTTAACCACATCTGGGAGTTAAAGGGTTAAGTGCTTTATACTTAGCTTCAAAACACTCAAATTTGACTCTAAAAGATGTTTGAAAACCTTAAAAATTTAGCTCAGTCTATACAATTAGATTATCATTAGTTTCCAAAGAATGTATAATACATTTTTCTCTGCATTGAACTAACAAATCTGCTCTGTGAGAATTAATCAATATTTATATGCATTTCATATGACCCTTAAATAATTCAATGTTTTATAATTTCACAGTCCAAATTTCACCTGTCATTCAAGTCTAAGCAGAAACCCAAAGAGACTAAATTATTAAGAAATATAGTGTTGCAAACAAGATAGAAAATAAAAAAGCCATTAAATCTCTTGAAAGTACATTTAAACATTTAGCTTATGCATATAAATTACTCTTAGTTAATGGACAAATTCTGATAACTGTCTTTTGGATTTGTATCAGAACTCGCGGGGCTCCTTAGATGACCATGATTAGAAAAATATCAATATTGGCAATAAATCAAACGTAAAGTGCGAAATACTAATAAATCATTCACTTTCTCGTACGTTGAAGGGTTGAACGACCTAATAACATCATGCTGATTTCAATAAAAATATGACATATTTTGTTGTTTCTAAATATCAAACAGCTGGGTGTTTTGAATAGGACTTAACATGATCAGTTTCAAGACCCCACGCCAACGCAGTTAATCCAAAATATATCATCTCTAAAATCAGGAGATAATAATGGAGTGATCCTGTTTGGATTAAGTTTTTAAGGAAAATTTAAAGCATACCGAACGGATTCGCTGGTTATGGCATTTAAAATAAATGCAGTGTATATCATACAAGTAACAAGGAAAACGATTAAAGAAACTTACGTCTCTTTACAACTATGGAGATTTCTAACACCAGGCAACCATACAGCGGGTCTCAGTACGCCCTGAATTGGCGACTGCCACATGGCACAACAACAATCAGCTGAAGACATTTGATTACAGCAGTAGTGCTTCTTTCACCTTCTGATTCGATTCTCGGATGGCAACAGCGCGCCTACAAGTGGGAGTTGACAATTAACGGTACGGTTGACCGAAAATCGACCGAATATTCTCCGAAAACTACACGATCTTTCGTGAACCAAGTGGCGTGTCAGGACAAAATATGATATTTAAGGCCGAACCGGATAAAAGACGACCGGTAGTGATAAATGAAGTGTGATAAATCAACTTTACCTGCAAATGCAAATTTCGGTGACTTGTGTGCAAATATATCCCAGGCGTTCATAACAATCGGCGTAGCGGGTGGCATGGTAATTAGTCAATTTTCGTTGTCATAGATACGGTCAACTGTTCTTTTTCCGCCATGTTTGAAGTCATAACATTCGCAAACGAATCGAAGAAACTCTGAATAAATACTGCCGTGACAAATTAGAACCTGACTTGGAGATCCAATTAGAATCCACTTACCGTGTTGTTAGAAATGGCTGCAGCAGTAGCACTATCAAAAGAGCCTCCTAACGCTACGGAGATCGAATTTGAATTAGACGATTTTGGAAAGGATGACCTCGAAGAAAATGACTTTCGAAGATCAGAGAGCATGTCGTCTGAAAGACCGAGAGCATTGTCTGTTTCTGATGTTTTGAGTCAGCATATTATGGAAAGGGATGGCATGGCTTCTCCGATTATCAGGGCTTTCACACGGAGTGCAATTAACCGGTGGAGAGGTAACGCGGAAAAGAAGATAACACGAAGATTGATGGAGGTGAAAGCTGAGCGTAAGAAGCGAGATGCAGAAAGTAAAGAGCTTACCCGGCTTGTGGCTAGAACAGTTCCTTTGGATGTTTTGGCTAGAGACTGGCTTAATGACAACGAAATTAGTTCGGATGTGAGAGTGTATTTGGTGGAAAACCTCATGCCAACGTTGATTTTAGGAGTGGAGAAACTGTTGAACGAGGTGGAAAAGAGAGATTTGGCAGATTCAGAGGGGTTCTGTCCAGACTTCAATCCCATAGATTATTTAGCTCAGTTTCTTATGAGAAATAATCCCAGATACAGTAACTTTGCTGAAGCCTCTCCCTACGCAAAGGGCCTGCGCAAAGTAGTGGAAGACCTCAAGAAGGAGGTTTTTTCTATGGAAAATAACAAACTTGCTAAACTCAAGGCTGATGCCAAGAAGAGGCGCGAAGCAAGAGAAAAAGAGGAGAATGAAAGGAACAGGGAAAAGCGACGGCGTTCTATAGCATTAGAGGAGCAATTTCCTGAGTGGACGGCTGATTGGAATGGGGTTCTTCCACTGTCAGTGGTAAGTTTCTTCATCAACCCTTTTACTCCCAAGATATCCCTATTTGTTCTCCTTACTATCTGCCATATCATTCTCACTTTGTTTGTTCAGAGAATTTGGCAGTGGATCAACTGATCATGCCCTCATTGATATTTTCCTTTATTCTCATCCCCTGTCTGCTTTATATTGTATTGATATTATAAGGAGAAATTCAGTCTTGGTCAATCGTGGGAGCTAAAGGGTTAACAGTTCAGTCCTAATTAACCCTTCAACACCCAGTAACAGTGGTGGATCCAGGGGGAGGGCCTGGGAGATTTAGGCACCAGTCAGACTCATGGGTAACAATAAGATCTCTTACTACTCCTCAACTTGAAATATCAAAATTTTACTCTTCTTGAATTGTTTCATACATATTTAAGCACTAGTGTAAAAAGAAAACTCTTTATAATTTTTTTCAAATCAAGTTTGGAATTCCCCACCCACAATTCTTGGATTTTCCCTTGAGTAATGCTTTCATGCCACATGAAAATTTCTCTTACACTGTTAATAAATAACCTAGCCAACAGGTGGTGGGATGAGAAATGTTTCCCTGATCTACATGTTGGGCCAAATTCTCTCAAACCATTTTACAGGACAATAAGGCTGAAGTTGACCAGTCTGTGATAGAGACCATGATCTAGTTAGCATGATAAAAAAGTTATTTACGAAGTTAGTTATTTTTTATTTATTTTTAAAAGCAGCAAGGTTTGTATCATAACAAGGTCACCTCAGTCCTGTTCAAAGGCTTGGCAATCAAGCATGCAACTGTAAAATGGACTATTAAAAATCAGATCTTGGGATTATTAATTATGTGTACATACATTTATTAGCTGAAATTTACCCTTAATTTGGACAGCAGGAACCATTTTTGTGACCTAGGAATCGATGAAAATGGTTGTAGGTTAAGTCCATTGCTTAATTCAAGAATGCCACACATGCCCTAACTTGCAATGATGCGTTGATTCCCATTGCTTCTTGAAGAGGAGCTTTGTTTTTAAGTGGGAGAACCTGGGGGGAGGAGGGAGGGGAGAGGGGCTCATTGAAACCTTATTGATAAGGGCCAAAATTTCATCCAGTCTTTAATGAATAACTTGTAAATTAAAGAAGGTTTTTTGATTTGAAATCCTGTTAAGCTAAAAAGAGGAACAAAGATAGTTTATCCAAAACTAAGATATACATGTAAGATGAACAACAATGTTATGTTAAGAGTTTTTGTTAACTGGGAGGAGGAGGTGCAGGCTGATTGCCTTTACAAAGTTAAAGCTCTGAATAAAAGACTTACTAGAAAGGCATTATAGGCTTATTAGAGTGTTTATGATCCACTGATACATGTCAATATCACTGTGGTTTTATCTGCTTTGAACTTCTGCTAAATCTTTGAGATCTACATGTAAATGAATCAATTAACAATCTTTCTTAAATTTCAGGTTCAAAATGTGCTGAAATCTTTTGAAGAAGTAGCCACAAATCTTCCAGATGAAATCAGGAAAGGTAACATTCTGAAATATCATGTCAGTGATGATTTGAAAGTCATGTCATTTCTCTCTTTATTCTGAAAATCATGAAATTCAATGTGGTTGTTTATTTACACTCTTGCAGGTGCAGCCTTTCTTATTCCTCTTGAACCAACAGATTCCACAGACAAAATGGTGAATCTTCAGCAATTTAAAGAAGTAAGTTTTGTTTAATTTGCATCAACACTTTCATGATATGATTAAGATCAATAAGATATGCATTTTTACTTTGCAATTGTCATTCTCAGCTACTTTACATTTCTGATTCATTTTTGTTTAATTGCTTTCCACCACTGCTGCAAAATTATACAAAATAAAGAGACACTTTCCATATATTTTTGCTCAACTTTTCTTTTTTGTATTTTTCAACTGTTGCTGCAACTGAATAAAGAGGATAAGTTTTTAAAGAAACTGTGGTGCTCAGTTAGTGGGAGAGTATTACAGGGTAATTTTAAGTGTTATCAACTGAGTTGATAATGTAAATTGGCCACTGTAAAGAGTTTAAAAGCTGACATTTTGAGTGTTAGCCCTTCATCAGAGTAATAGATAGCAAGTGAATCGCCCTGACAAAGGGCTAACTCTTGAAAGGTCAGCTTTTAAACTCTTTATGGTGGCAATTTATTTTATCAACTCATTTAATAATACTAAATTACCCCGTTGCTGCAACTTTTTGCTCTATGTTGTTGAATTTCATGTTGGTTTTTTCACTTCAGTATGTTCGTCCATATGCTGGCAATTTGTCTAAGGAAGCTTTCAATGCATTTATTGAACACTTAACTCGCTGTGCTGCACACTACAGAATTGCAACTGTGAAAGAAGCCATGAGGTAATATTAAAATTGTCATCATTTGAGTTTTACATTTGTAATAATTTTTTTTCCCTGGAATGGTAGATGTTATATTAATTTTTTTGTTGTCTAAACCTCCTAGAGGAAACAAATCAACCACATTTCTTCAATTTTCATGTTTTAACTTACAGACTTACTTTGAGGAACCTTTTCTTGAGCTGTGACATGAAGAATGTAAGTAACTCTGAAATAAAACCTCCTTTTCATTTACCTTTTTCAGCTTGTATTTGTCGCTTAAAATATGTGACATAACAGTCTGTTGTCAAGATTTGTCTAATTTTTGTTTAATTGGTTCATTTCATTTAAATTTTTGTAAATGTAAACAACACTCAACCTGGAAACACATGTTTAAGTTAACAAAAATCTTAACGCAAAGTCAAGTTATTTTATGATTTTATCACATTTTTTTCTTTTTCCCAAGTCTGGTCATGTGGACAGGAAGCGTATTTTGGATATCATGAGCTCATTTTACGATAATGCCGTTGAAGCTGTTAGGTCTTCTCTACAAAATCCAAGGAAATGTAAGTTTCTAAGTATCCAAATTTCTGTTCTCCCTTATTTCCAATACAACACAGGCAAGTAGGTTTTAATCCTACAAACTGATAAATATGGAAAAATTATCAGTTGAATTTTCATGAATTCTAAGTTACAGGTTGAAGAAAATTAGTGATGTAACAAACAGCAACTTTTACCTGTCTCTGCTTAATAAGGAGAGCTCTTAATCCATCCTCTTAGTAACCAAAAAGCAATTTCTTTGTACAGTAAAATATATCAAAACATTTTCAAAGAGATTGACAAAAAAGGTATAATCAGTATCAATTGAGAGATATTGTTTGATTCAACACCAAATTCTCAGAGCCAAAATAGCAAGGATTGTAGGAAGGGTAGTTTGGGGAATTTACATCTCCCTCTTGGCAGGAAAGTTCATAAGAACCTCTTTCAGCTGTTTGAGCAGTAACTGGCTGCAGTGACTGCTCAAAAGATAAAATGGGAAATAAGAAGGGACTGCCATCAGCGCATTTTTTTAGGATTAAATTTAAACTAAAGGCAGTGACAAATAATTGCTTGAGGATGAATACATTTGTGGCAGCCCCCTAGATTTGAATTTGAATTTACCACTGGTTTACATGAAGTAATTGTAAAGATGTTATCTGAGGATTTCCGATCTTGATTCAACCATTATCTGTTGTTTATCAGGGCCAGTTTTAGAAATAGAAGAAACCACTGATGAAGATGAAGATGAAGAGCCAAAGGGCAAACAAGACACTGGAACAGGAACAGATGATCAACCCAAAATACAAGTAGAACAAGCAGACCCTGGAGAAATCCCACCCAAGGAGGATACCAATGATCCAGAACAAGTGTCAGAGGAACTAAAAGAAGGAGAGAAAGAAAAGCTAGAAGAAACTCCTGCAGAAGAAGACACTGCCCAGAAACCAACAGAAGAAGATGAAAAACCTCAAGAGGCTGAGGAGGGAGAGGAGCAAAGCATTGATAAAGCTAAGGAACAAACTGGTGATGGAAATGGTGATGAACAGATAGAAGGTTTGCACATGGTTATTAACAGTTCTTTTGTGAATTTCACTGCTTCCTCACTGTCCCATTTTTGAATCCTCTATATATTATCCAGAACATTAACCATTTCACTCCCAAGATCTAATTAGTAATTCTCCTTACTATAACAATTATGATGTTAGTTCAGAGAATTTTTGGATCAACTAATAATCCCATAATTGATTCATTCTCAATATTGATATTGTAAGGAGAAATTCTGTCTTGGATGAAATAGTTGAACATCTTAGATGAAATAGTTGAACATCTTATTGGAGTTTTCATCTACTGTTTTAAGGTGAGGAAGATGATAATCAAGACGAATTACAAGACAATGCTGTTGAAAAAGAGAACATAAAGGAAAAATTGTTAGATAACGAAGAAGAAGACAGAAAGCTGCTGGAATCAATCCCAGATGAAAGTATGTCTCATTTTATTTAAAATGCTCAATATTCTTACTACATAGAGGAGGATAATATTTAACACAGAAAAATGCTGTAAAACACAAGCATTGGTTGATATTGTTATTTCATTTGGTTGTATGCTTGTGGCACCTCTGAAAAAATTTTTGTTTACTTTTAACCAACACATCTTGTGGAGCTTTTTGCTGTTTGAACCTTTGGAGTGATTTTCAACTTAATATTGAAAGTTATCCTGCTCTACTTTGCCCAGTGATTGGTTCAGAAAAGTCCCACCACCCTCTCAAACAATCTGATGCAACAATTTGGTTACTCACGTATTTCTGTGCCTCATGCAGTTTGCCTGTGATGTTTAGGCTTGCTGTGATTGGTTGTTGTATTGACTGTGTTTTTTTGTTTTATGACACTTAATCCAAAACTGCTGTCTTTTAAAATTTTCTACTACCAGGACTTTTTATTTTGCAATGGGCAGCCTCTAAGACCACTTATTAAAATATTATGCAAAGTTCAGATTTTACTGAATTATTTTGACTATTAGTTGATGATCAGATGTCAGATCAGGAAGACACAGAAACATCAGCCAGCACACTACCAAGACCCAGGTCTGCTACTGAAGGATCAGCATTTGATGAAAACTCACTTAATCAGCCACAGTTTATACATTTGCTGGAAAAGTTTCTTGGAAATACCCCTATCAAGTAAGACTTAACCTGTAAATAGTATATAGATACTATAAATATAGTAGGTAAAAGATACTATAAATTATTGCAGAGATGGCCCATTATGGGATACGAACTTGAAGATGAAGAGTTATTTTTTGGAGATGCACAAACAACGACGTACATCGAGAAATTTTCAGTTAAGTGTCAAAAGGAAATCGGGATTACACTGGCTCAAGATTGGCTTTACTTTCCAGTTGGTCTAGATAACCAGCGCCGCTCTTGCAACCAATCAGAGGGAAACTTGATCAATTTACTCCTAATTTGGTATCTTGTGTTTTACCGCTATTCATGTAATCAGCGTGGTTTTCACATTGAGTTCTCTTTGGCTCTTTGCGACATGTTCCTTCGTTCTGATTGGTTGTTGTGATTACTTCAGATGTCGTCCTACGTCACTCAAAGTAACGTAGCGCACCAATCAGATGATGGCTACATCTGACAACAGCACGTTGTTACGTGTTTTTATTCCCGATGATGTAAAAAATGATCAGCCTTTTCAATTCAGCGTGTCGCCTTAGAAAACCTTCAGTGTCTCACCCTCACAACTTTAGGGCTCAGATTTACCAAAAAAACTTGTAAACTTGTGAGTAGATCCATGCAAGATAACCATTAACTGTATCATTGTCTTTCTTTCAACAGGCAAGTGTTCGATGATCTCGTCCGGTTTGTAAGAGCCAGCTATGTGGAAACAGATGATGAAAGAATGGCAAGAATAAACAAGGTGTGTGATGGGCTTGATTCGGTTCCTTATTGTGGTTGTCTATTGTGACGAAGTATTGAGAACATCACGGGATGAATTGCGAGAGAACAGTTATTTTTCGTTTATAAAAGCGAACTCTAAATTTGATGGTAGTTGAAAACGTACTGCATGGTATTATGTGCAAGTTTTTAAGAAATCCTCAACAACTTTTTTGTGAGATCAAGTCTCTTAATATGGATTTGATTGAAACCGACGCAAACTTCACCAACGACAGTTTGTTAGCTGGCTTTGTTTTTTTTTTTTTCGTTTGTTTGTCTTTTTGATGTTGTTTTTCCCTTTTTTAACGGAAATGGTCATGAAGAGTTCAAATGCGTTCGTTGAGTGAAATAGGAGGGGTTATACGAAGTATAGTGTAGGAGGGAATTGAAGTAGAACGAAACCCCCATTTTGTGACAGTTCTGTTTGGGGAACATCTCCATTCAAGGAAAATGAAATTCGGTCCGACGGCAAAGATGCTGACATGACTTTTTAGTCGCGAGTATCTCCCTTGGATGGGACTTCTGCTGTCCACGCTGACTGTAAAACGCGTCACGAACCGTGAAGCGGAACATTTCGATGTGTAGTAAAACACGTGCGTCATGAGCATATCACACGTGATGATTCACTTAGCTAATTAAATAGGTAACTTTTTTCTTATTAGGCTCGTTTAGAGGCACGTTCAGCTAAGAGGCGTCGGCAGGTGGATCAGCTCTATGAGTTGTGGGACGTGAACGCCTCTGGGTATCTGGAACTGGATGAAATTCAAGTTGTGTTGAACAAATGGCGCGTGGATGGAATTGAAAACTTCAAGCAAGGTTTGTGCAGACATTTTTTCTTGTGGGGTGGTGGTAAAGTACCGGAGCGCTGAATGTGTACTTCTGAGGTTTGGAATCTTGGAAGGGGGGGGGGGGAGACTTGGGTTGTTTTGTCCCATGTTCGTTACTCAAGAAAGATTTCTCTCGTTACTTCTTTGCGTCATATTTTAAAACAACCTTATGATAGGAACGATAGAAATATAGAAAGAATGGCGCTTAGCAGCAATTTGTTACTCTCCTTTTTCCTGGGAGCTCTTTTGAGTTTACGCTGGAAGTGTTTTTCAGGAGCGCACAAAAGGAGATATGCCTCCCTTCTTTTATTCACATTTTTGCATTGAATCCTAACAGTTCTTTGGTTTGTTACTATTTCAGCCCTGAAGGTATTCGGTGAAGTAGACAATACCCTCAACAAACGCACATTCCGTGAGTGTATTGATGCTATAATAAAGTCTTTTCCAGAAGAAGACGTGTTTGACTCATTGATCCACTTCCTCACTACAAGCGTAGAGGTGAGCTTCTAAAACATCATTTAGCTTTAGAGGAAGATGTTTTTCATCTTGTCACAGCGTGGGACAACGAAAAAATTCTGAGTTCCCATGAGGAAAAAAAATCTCAGTCCCCATGAGGACATATCTGATCCTAGCAGTATGCAGGACGCGTGTCATTTGAACTTCGTAATAGACCTCGCTCACCGTACAGTCTCTGTGGCTCAGTGGTAGAGCATCGGAGCGCGGAATCCGAAGGTCTGAGGTTCCTTTCCTCGTGGGGTCTCAGAATTTTTTATTTGTCCCACGCTCGTGACAAGACGAAAAACATCTTCCTCTATTTCTTTACCGAGCTCAAAACTTACCATCTCTCTTATTCTATCATTTAGTTTTATTAAGTTTTCTCTCCTCACTCGTAATCCTTATTTTTTACAGCGGTCTTTCGAGGAGCGTAGGCGGGGTGATGCACGGAAAAGATGGATGACGATGATTGATGCCGCTGCTCAGACTGGCGGAGCGCAACTCGATCCGGTCTATCGTGCGGTGTACCATGTACTCTTCAAAGACGCGGATGAGCATGGAAAAGGGAAAATATTGAGTTCTTCAGTGAGTATGCTTGAAAACAACGACGACCCGAGCCAAATGCACCGCGGTGAGACAATTTTACGATACATGTCCAGCACAGTGGATGACATTCCATACGTTGTGGGCAAAGTTTTGTATAGAGACATGAAGACAGTTTCTTGGGCTGCAGTAGACTCTGGCAAGCCTATCCACGTCCCTAAGGTGTCTACTCACTCTGGAGTGACGATGTGGAATCCTACCCGGAGAGAAGAGGTAAGAGTTATGGGAGTGAGGTCACAGCAAAGAATTTCCAAAAGATATCATTAAATTTGTCCTCGTTTCCTTTGTTTTGATTGTCCTGAAGAAGATTCCAATGCTGCAAAAATTACCGGAGGACATTTTTCTCTTGCAACGGAAGATATCTTACAGTTACGTAGTATGTGAAGCGGCCAAAATCTCTTATTTCTACAATTCCGTTTTCCTGCGGGATTAATGCGGGCAATCCCGAGCCCTTCTTATGATGGAAGCTTGGCTGGCCTTTGCGGAACCTGGTACCAAATCTGTTCAACAGGTTGCAGTGAAGTAGCGCAGATATTAATAACAGGTATGCCTTTGGTCGTGGTAGGACTGGATAGCTGACCTAACGGGGGGTCTGTGGTTTGTATTGGTGTTCTTGATGCTGTGGTGGAGCAGGGTAATGGATGCTGTGGTTGAGATGAAAATGGGTACTAGTTAATCAGTGTTAATTAATGATCCTTTTTTTTTTCCAGGGAGGAGACGGTTCGTTTATTGCACTGCCACTAAAGGATCATGAACGACGAGTAATCGGTATCCTGGGTATAGACACCTTAGCGGACCCTCATAAACCAGTATTCATCACACATGAGATCAGCTTCTTCCAAGGTGTAGCCAAAGCCTTGAGTCAGGCCATACAGTTTGTTGATATTCGTCGGAAAACACTCAGAGTTGCTGAGTCAGCAGTATCTTGGATCTTGCGACGGAGTCCTAATGTGCAGAATGTCAATGTTTACTTAGTGGAACCCGGATTAAAGGTATCTATTCTTTTTTTTTAGTGTTGTTGTCGGGCCTTTGGTCAGTGGGGAAGGAGACTTTTCCTCTGTTTTTGTTTCCTTCCCTCTGTTGGTTTTGGGCCTTTACCATGTTGTAGTCGTTTCATTTTCATTTTCCTCACTGTTCGTCATCAGCCATCTGACGGTTTGGTCCTCCGCCGAATGAGGACGCTGGCCCATAACGGGTTCAGCCAGCACTATACAAGTCCGCCAAGGCTGGACAGAAGAGATAACCTGTTCAGGTAAGAAGTAGAACTTCTCTTTAAGGTGATTCCTCAGAAAAAAAATTTATCGAAAAAATGTTTTTTTAACTTTCCTTAAATGTTCCTTACCAATGTCTGTTTCGAAAACTACAATAAAAAAGGTAGGGCACAGTACAGGTTTAGGAGATACAATTGACCAAACTTACTCCAGTTATGCCTGTACTGGCACTAATCACGCGCGTCATTTTATCGGTTCATGGTACATTTTGCTGCAGCTGGAAGCAAGGGTTTTTAAAGTAACACTTGAAAAAAAAAATCTTTATAGGTAGAAAGTCTCTAGCGTATGGAACAATTTGATATGTAATTTGTGGGAAAATCACGCAAATTTAAACAACTTCGACTCAAAATGTTTCTCGAGTCGTCCCTTTTTAAGGTCATAATTTGCATCTTCGAGTAACGGGCTTCGTGCACGCTTTTGTATAAGGTGGCGCTTATCGCACTCTTCATAGATAACATTTACCAGCCTGTGATGCATATTTTGTGTCATATATCAGGGACTATTTGTTTAAATGTGTGGAGAGCTCAGAGACCATCACTGCAGACGCGTATGGAGAGCGTCACATGGCTTTTCCCCTCAGAGATGGGGAAGGGAGAGCTGTTGCCGTAGTTGACATAAGTATCGGTGAACTTAGAGCACTTCCACCGCACGAGAACAAGGAAATACAACGCATGCTCAAACTGCTGGCCAAGGCACACAGAGAGGTGGCTCGAGAAATCACCAGTGGAGCGGCAGAGAAACACATCGTGTTGGGTAAGTTGAATTACCTTTGAAATAGCTTTGCATGGGCTTTTTTGGGAATTTTCTCTTAACCCTTTACATCCCAAAAATTAATATTCGTATTCTCCACACTGATCTCTTTATATTTACATTTCCTGTGGTAATGACGAGGAGAATTTGTTTGACAATCAATTTCCATTATTTTCATGACCTTTACATTTGATTCAAGGGTGATAATGTAAGGAGAAATTAGAAGCAAATCACATTTATGAGTGAAAGGGTTAGTTAGAGGTGGGGTGGTAATTCTTATTGCTTCCATACTTTGCATAATGTTGACGTGAAAACCTCGACTACTCTTGCTATTTTTGGTAGGACAACTAGAATTGGGACTTTAACGGGGATTTTGTGTAAACGACGGTAATGTCTGAACACGTTCGTGTTCCAAGTAGAAAAGGTAGTTAGCATTTGATTCTTTTGATCTGTAGAGGTGGAAAAAGAGTACGAAGACGCCCGTATTGATGTTTTGTTTGACCGACTGATGCTGTTGGACCTGAGAGAGAACGTGGGAAGACTGGACGCCAGGTACATTTAAGGGTGATCTACAGAAATAGTCAGAATTGTAGAGATTAATACCTCATTCACACCAGCAAAACATGTTTAGTTTATCCAGGTGTAACTGAATGAAAATCCGAAACAGAGAACTAAAAAACTAAATATTCCAAAGATTTCAAATGTTCACCAAATTTTATTTTCAGCGCGCTGAATTTGAAGCCGGCAAACATCGGTTTAGGCAGCCCCTATAGAGAAAACAAATTTGAACCGTGTTCAACAAAGCAGCTTTGAAATATGTTCAAGCTTTGGTGTGAACGAGGAATAAGACACCCCCAAATCAGCGATTGCGGCTCGGTGGATTATAAGACTCTGATTTCCTCCAAAAGCCCAGTGACAAGTAAGCATGTACGAACTTTATCGAGCTCACTTACACTGACTCAGAAAAGGCAAATGGGCATGGAGATCACTATTTCTCAGCGAAACATTTTAAGTTTTAAGTACCAACACTGACCAACCGACTCTCAAAAGAAAAGGCCTTGTTTTAAACTCGAATGCCCCATCCCCTCCCCTCAAGTATCAACTCCTTAGGGGTAGTGGGTATTGGATTCGCGTATGGAATATCTCATTTGAATAATTTTTTGATCCCAAGAAATGAAAAAAATATAAATCCGTTGGATCAATGTTAGAATTTGAGCAACTGCACACCAACCCCTCCCCTAACCTTACATTAACCCAAGCTTGTTATCAGTTGATTTTTGTAGGGTTAGGGGAGGGGTAGGTTGGTGCGTAGTTGCTCAGATATTAACATTGATCCAATCTGTTCATCAAATCGGCGCGAAGCACCAAATACGTCAGGTTTTCTGCGATCGCCCTCACCGTGTTATGACAGGTTCCAAGCTTGGATTCTTTCTGTATAAATAGCTTTTTTTGTCAGCTGTGTGATAGTCGCTGTGTTGGTTCTTCACTTTGTCGCCTTATTTTAATCCTCAGGGCTTTCGCCGAGATCAAGAGCTACAAGGATCCGCCCAAAGTGATTCACGATATTCTGAAGGCAGTTTTAGGCATCTTCCATCCGGATTTGGAGAAGCAGGACAAGTTTAACGAGTGGAGCATGTGCAAACAAATGGTCAACCCAGATCTAGTTCGTCTGATTACATCCTACGATCCTACAGCGAGGGCAAACACTGTTAGTGTGGATGCGAAATCTTTAGCTGGAAAACTACAGGGTAAGTGTTTCAATCAGAGCTAAGGAAAATATCACAAGGAGCCAACGATAGCTCAATATGAAATAATGTCAAAAGCGAGCGACTAAGTCGCGCTTGATTTTAAAGTTGGATTTTTTTTTGACGCGCGAGTTTTTTTTAGTCCTTTCAACTCCAAAGATCTAATTGTTAATTCTCCCTTTTAGTTGCTACACAGTTCCTTGTAAAGTAGGTGTGAGAATTTGGTGGTAGATCAAGATAAAAACGTAGAAGTTACCGTGACAGGTTAATCATTTCTGGGAGTTGAAGGGTTAAACCAACCATAGATGGAAGTAAAGCAAAACCGGTGCAATCCCGAGTTGCTTTCGACAGCCAATTGAAAATTGCTATTCTCTTTCCATTTGGTGCAACTCTTCCCTGAAAAATTGTAATTTTAGGGTTATGGTCGAATTGACGACATTTTTATCGACCACAATTTCCAGTTTCTGTGGAAAAGCAGCCCTCTTTTCCAAATGCATTTGTTCTAGGGAGTGTCAACTAATTCATTTCTGTAACTGTTTTGACTTTCAGATGTGCCTCAAGGTGCTGTGGCAAAGCACGGTTCATTACCAGCTCAGTATCTGTTCAATTGGGCTTTCGTTTGCTTGTCTCTGATTGAACACACGGAGAAGATGTGCGAAACACGTCCGGGAAAAGTTGTGAGCCCGCAGGCCAAGAGCGAAGTGGTCACCGATGTCGGAAAGGGAAGGCCCTCGCCCCAGGAAACATGGACGCGTTCGGAAACGACCGAGTAATTTTCTCTTGATGAATCTAGATAGTAATGTTTTAGGTTAAAAGTCCATCATACATTTACTACGTAAAGGTATTCTAACTGAATGCAATCGAGAATAGAGAAGATATACAATGATTACGAGTGTAGAACTTGGAAATTAAACGTAATTTCTTTTTAAGCTGCATAAACGGTTGCATGATCTTAGATTCCAAGCTTTCATTTTGAGCAGCGCTGCCTTAACGGAGAGAGCTGTGGAGAAAGTTAACAGGTCTGACTTAGAGTTCCTACAAGGAAGTTTACTTCATTTTTGCAAAATTTGTTCTCGTTCACGGTTAGTGATGAATTGGCAATGGGCGACAGTTAGATCACAACAACAACAACAAGAATAACGAGATCGGCGACAAAAATAACAGCAACAAAAAGAAAAATAACTATTACAGCAATAAACAACGACAAACAAAAAGGAATGGGAAAAAAGACTGTTGAGTTTTTTTTCGTATGGAAAACGTTAGTCTTATTAATTAAAAAAAATTCTCCCGTAGCAGACGGCTAAGTTTGTGGTTGATACTCAAACAGCTTTCGCCCGTACGTCCTTTACTTGATTCCCTTTTGCCATTGCTCTATAAATATTTATTATAAAGGAGAGTACATTTATCAAGTTTTGTACATACTATATATGTATATATATTTTTTAGCTATCACAGACAGTTTTTATTTCTGTCCATTTTTGTATCAAGAGTTTGTTTAGTGTGGAACGAGCAGCTATTTTTCTAGGGAGTTTAATGTTTGTAAAATTTTAAAGACTTTTTCACGCGTGTTGATGCACGGTATGACCAAGGTGCGAGTTTCCAAATAAAATGATTTAAAATGACTCATTTTTCGTGATTTGCATTTTTATGTACCTTTTATGATTAAAGGGGGTAAGTTTCTGAAGAAATTGTGGTGCGTCGGTGGTGACGAAGGGCTAACGCTCGAAACGTCAGCTTTAGAAACTCTTATGATGGCCGATTTACATTTAAAATTTTACATTTATCCTTATTTACAGTGGATAAAACCAAATTATCCATGTGTACCTTAATTACCCATGAATACCAGCTATTTGATGTAATTTTTTCACATGGCTTCTAGGTATTGAAAGGTCCAGTCCCGTTTCCAGCTGGGACATAAACGTCAGGTTTCAAGCCCACCGTAGCGGTTAGCGGTGCAAGTTAAAAAATTACCGACGACCCTTTTCGCGTTCCTCAGGCAAATTAACATTCATAGTTAAGTCAGTGTGTATATCTGAATGAATTTCTTAATACAGGTTCTATTCATAGATAAAGCCCATGTGGCTCTCGGCAAAACTTGATCATTCCAATACCACCCAAAAGAGTCTTCGGTAGAGTTGCTCTTACTAGGAACAGTCGTGACGAAGCCGACCACTATTTAGTGCAAGATATTTCTGAATGAAGTCTTTAAGTGATGATAATTATAGTGTTGTTTTATCAATTGTAGGTTTAGTGCACGGCTCTTTGGGAGAGCACTTCTTAATGACGATGGATACCGTAGATAAATAAAATTCTTATTTACTCATTCATTTACATTCGTACAGTCAGTCACTTTCAAATTTTCAGCATGTAGGATTTGACGGTTATCTAGTCAGCGGTTTTTCCTTACGTCATGTATGAAGAACAGTTCACGTGCGAAAAGTAAAGTATCGATCGACTTGTAGTATTTTGGAAGAGTGTATTCTCTTATTTTCGCCATGGGTATCCTCGAAAAAATCGCCGAAATAGAAAATGAGGTATTTCTTTGTTTTATTTCCCCCCAACTTTTCATGATGGTGTTATTTCATGGAATATTTTGGTCAATTACAGATGGCGCGAACGCAGAAGAACAAGGCAACAGCCCACCATCTTGGATTGTTGAAAGCTCGATTGGCGAAATTACGGAGGGAACTCATCACACCAAAGGGCGGAGGGGGAGCAACAGGAGAGGGTTAGTATTACGTTTAATATTTCAAATATCCGTCAAGATGTTTGTTCTTGAGTTTTAGCAAATTTCTTGGTAATTACGTGGTAACACCGGTACCCTTAAATATTGCAATAGTATTTCATGTACCAGAAGAAAGCCTATTTTGTCTAATGATTGATCGAGTGACAGTGCTAAAATTGATGTATAGAGAAAATGCGTTGCGACAATGTTTTAAGAGGAATATGGTGTTTCTCTCTGAGGACTCAGATTGTTGTTTTGGTCCAAAAGCGACGATTTTGTCACCTACGTATTCCACGCTGCCATTTATATAATTATGTGGCAAGATTTTCATGTAACCCCATACTTTATCACGGACATACTTATTCAATAAAAGAAAACAACAGCAAAAACCGTGGTTTGCTGCTGGGAGTAAGGGTTTTTTTAAGAATAGCATTGGGTTGTATGAACATTTCTTAATATATTTATTACCACTGACTTAATAAACCCAAGAAAAGAAAAACATGTAAGAGAGGAAAACAAAGTACCCCTGAATGACCTGAACAGTTCTAGTTAATATTTGGAGTGTACTTTATTATAAAAAAAATATATTAAATTGCAGGATATCTCTCAATTGGGAACTCATTTTGTTTAAATTTATTTTGTGTGGGTTTCTCACTATTTACAGTACACTAGTAGGACAAAAAGTATGTCTGGTTTTGTAGGTTTTGATGTGGCAAAGACTGGTGATGCTAGAATTGGCTTTGTGGGTAAGTTACATGTACTTTTGTGGTACCTTGATTAAAAAAATATATTGTTGATCATTCTGTGAAGTGCTAATCATAAAGAAACACAACATTGTATCTGTGATTTTCTCCTTCTGAACTCGTGAAAACAGGCCCGGTAAAAAAATACATGTACTAGAAATACAACAGTAATAATTGGTGCTCTTTTCTGTGGTGCTCTTTTCTGTGGTGCATTTTGGTGGACATTTTCATTACTGTAGAATTTATAAAAGAGAATTGCACTCCAAAAATCATATTTTGATATATTGAAAATTTCACAGATACTTAATGGTAGTAAAGCTGAAAACCACATTGTGTTAATAGCATACCTCTTCCTCAAAAATGTTAGCAATTATACCCCACAAAAAGTTTAAAATTTTTATTTCATTTCAGCTGTTTGGCAAAGCTTACCTGAGATGACTTTTTTTTCTCAGACTTTGATGTAAATTGGTGAAAAGAAAGCAAGAATGAGTTTTTGGTTTGTTGAAATTGAGATGGATTTTTTCCTCTGTAGGGTTTCCATCTGTTGGAAAGTCAACTCTTTTGACCACTCTAGCAGGCGTCTACTCAGAAGTTGCTGCTTATGAATTCACCACCCTTACCACTGTTCCTGGTGTGATTCGGTATAAAGGAGCCAAAATTCAACTCCTTGATTTGCCAGGGATTATTGAGGGGGCTAAGGATGGCAAAGGAAGAGGTCGTCAAGTTATTGCAGGTGTGGTGATGTGTTCTGCATTGATCAACTTTATTTCAATTGATATGGGGGTTCTTGATAGAATGTGAAGTAGGTTTTTGTCCAACCTGAATAAAGGAGCTGTGATAAATGACATACAAGTAAAGAGTGAACACAATTTAAGTAGGACATAGTTTGACGCTACTCTGGTTTGCAGATTTAATGAATGTAACCGAAGAAGTTACGATTCATAGACCCAACGTTTCGACACTCCTGTCTAGTGTCTTCATCAGGGGTGATCTAAACGCTGCAGGTCCTTTTATATGATCACTAATTAGCGGCCTTTTTGCTCCGATAAAGCTGAATTTTCAGATGACCACCACCACCCTATTTGCCATAAAAAGTCTGTAGCCAAAACTTTACTTAGGAGGGCTGACTGTCTACTATCTTCACTCGATTCGAAGGCTGAGGAGAGGAAATATGTTGCCAATGTCCTAAAGGCAAATGGCTATACAAAAACTTTTCTCCGTAACTGCCAAAAACCAGTTACAAATAGTAACGCTCTTGATGAAAGGGAACCAGTGACTGGTTTTGCTGTTATTCCTTACATACAGGGTGTTACGGAACCCATCAAGAGAATTTTGAATAGCCACAACGTTAAAGTTGCTCAAAAACCTTTTCAGACTTTGGGGCATATTTTCGCCAAACCTAAGGATCCTGTCACGAAAGAACAACGAACCGACGCCATTTATTCTATTCCTTGCAATGACTGACAATGAATACATCGGACAGACCAAAGTCAGTTTGGTACACGGTTAAAAGAGCAGTTTTTCTTTGCAAAAAGGAAAATTCAGCTTTATCGGAGCATACATGCCTAACCAACCATACAATTGGGTGGGATAATTCTAAAATTATCACCACTAATCGGCATTACCATCAGCGCCTTTGTTTGGAGGCTAGGCATATTAACTCCGCCCACGCTCCTTTAAATCGTGACGATGGCGGTTTGCTTCCTGATGCCTATTTACACCTCGTCAGAAAAAAGGCCGCTAATTAGTGATCATATAAAAGGACCTCTTGTTGCAGCGTTTAGATCACCCCTGATGAGGGCACTAGACAGGAGTGTCGAAATGTTGGGTCTATGAATCGTAACTTCTTTGGTTACATTCATTAAATCTGCAAACCAGAGTAGCGTCAAACTATGTCTGATTGTCCACCTGGTTGCTGTGTGAACTTTAATATACAATTTAAGTAGCTATATATTCTGAAGAAGACATATAGTTCATAAAATAATAGAAATTTTTCCATTGATATCCCTCTTTTATTTGATGGAAACTGGTGTGATATTTGGTCATCAGATTTGAATTTAACTTGTCCAAAAGTCTCAGAGAAAATCTGACCTTTGCTGTAAATGTGTATTATGGACAGATACATGTAAGGAAAGACACAAAGCTGGATTCTGTTCCATATTAAATATCAAATTGGTCTGGCTATTGTTTGCTCTTTGGACAAAGTAATGTTGCATAGTATTTGGGTTAAGAAATGTGATGTCTTAATGCCAGTTTTTCTGTTGGTATTTTTCTTACAGTTGCCAGGACATGCAGCCTGATTTTTATAGTACTAGATGTGCTAAAGCCCCTGGGACACAAGCGACTTATTGAGCATGAATTGGAAGGATTTGGTATAAGGTAAAGATTGGACCTAGGCAACAACTTGTTTATCAGTTAATCAGAAGTATAACAAAATTTTTGAATGTGATTTGTTATCACCAGCCCGATTTGGGCATGAATAGGACAGTGTACATGTCATACTTGCAATTGGACAGTGTTATAGGACAGTTGTAATGTCATGCTTGTGTAAGTGGACAGTATGTTCATGTGTTGGCAGTGTTATCATGCATTTTGCTGAATAATTGTTGTTGTTTTTTCATGAAAACGTATCAGTGATGTCTCCTTTCTTTCTCAAATTTGTTGTAGTTTTGATAAATTGGTAACAGGATTTTGTGTTGTCTAATTCTGCCTGTAATCATACAAGCAATAAACAAATCAGACTCCAGCTTCACAGTCATCCAATTTTGTCAATCACTCATATGATTACAGACCAAATTGGACTCCACTCAGTGCCATTACCATTATTAATTAAAAGTAGATAAATTAGAACCAAGTGGAAAAAGAAAGGTCTATGTGAAAAATTAGGGAAGTACAGTCAAACTTGTGTTAAGTGGCACCGTAGCAAGCAGTCACCCTGTATAAAGCAGTTAGTCACTCTGTATAAAGTGGTCGGTCACCTTGTATAAAGTGGTCAGTCACCCTGTATAAAGTGGTCAGTCACCCTGTAGAAAGCAGTTAGTCACCCTGTATAAAGTGGTCTGTCAGTCACCCTGTAGAAAGGGGTCAGTTGCCCGGTATAAAGCGGTCAGTCACCGTGTAGAAAGGGGTCAGTCACCCCGCATAAAGCGGTCAGTCACCCCGTATAAAGCAATCAGTCACCCTGTATAAAGTCCCAAATGTGTTTCCCCTTAATCACTGTAATTTTCACTTCTGATGAGTGGTTACATATATTAAGCAGTAGCAGTCACCTTTTACTAAGTCATAGAAACCTCTTTTTGTTGTCCTCCACCTGTATTGAATGGTCACTGAAAGCAGGAACATTCAAATGAAACTAAGAATAATCTTTCAAGTTATTTTTAATCCATGTTTCTTTCCCAAAATCAAAGTAAGAAGTACCTTTGAGTGAGATTTTGTACACCAAGTGTTCAATTATACCATGGAGCTGGGCTCTTTATTGTTTTTATAATACCCCTAATCTGTGGAACCTGTCTTACGTGGTCAATTTGTATGAAGCAGTCACCTGCCATTTCCCTTGTTTTTTTCAGAATTCAGGATGTCGTTTGATCTCTTGGGATTTGACCAGGTTCTTTATGAGAAATTCTCTCTTTCTTCCAATGTAAAGCTGGTCCCCTAACTTTAATACCTAAAAAAATATAGTTGTATTATGAATTGCCATGTTAGTGGAACAATTGCTCATGTATCATTAACATATTCAGTTGGTGTTATTTTTTTTTGGGCAGGCTGAATAAGGAACCACCAAATATAACATTCAGAAAGAAAGAAAAGGGTGGAATCAACCTGCAGACCACAGTATGTATAGAGACACAGAACTTATAATCCTGCAGGAGAAATATTGTGAAATGAAAGGCTTACATGTACATCTTAAATACTCTAATTTAGAAAAGGTGCAATCGCAATAGGGTTTAGATTTATTTTTGAAGAGAAAGTCAGTAGTTTATTGGAGACAAATGATTAACCCTGTACACCCTAATATTAGTATGCATATTCTCTGTACTATTCTCTGTACATTTTTTAAGGAGTTGAGATGGAGAATTTGTTTTACAATCAAGAGCTTCTTTTGTCGGTGATCATTCCCTTTATTCTACTGACCTTGATGTTTGATTCAGGGATAAAATTGTAAGGAGAAATTAGATACTAGTCACTCTTAGGGGTTTAAGGGTTAAGAGAATGGAAAAATCTCACTGATGAGGATTTAACACAAAGGCTTTTGCCAACGTGTACTGTGTTTAAGTTATGTTTTCATCTCTCATTGAATCCAAACAATGTGAAGAGGTGTTTTTGAACTCTGTTACAGTGCACCCAGTCTGAGCTGGACATTGATTCAGTGAGATCCATCTTGAGTGAATACCGCATTGCTAATGCTGACATAACCTTGAGATATGATGCCAATGCAGATGATCTCATTGATGTCATTGAAGGAAACAGGTACAGGAAAACAGAACTTAAGAATCTTTATCTCTATACATGACTATTATTCTCTAATGTTAATTAAACAGAGGTAAAGTTCCTTCTTGGGTTGTTATACTTAGAGCAGTAGTGAAAAAAGGAATTTTTTTTGACATTGTTTGATTTAAATTACTGATTCTTCTTTTTTAATTTCAGGGTTTACATTCCTTGCATCTATATTCTGAACAAAATTGATCAAATTTCAATAGAAGAATTAGATTTGATCTACCGCATACCACATGCAGTTCCATTATCAGCTCACCATAAGTGGAACTTTGATGACTTGCTAGAAAAAACTTGGGAATACCTCAGTCTTATAAGAATGTGAGTGGCACTAGAGTTAGTTTTTGAAACAATCTTTCAATGTACTTCCTAATAGAATGCTGGAACAGCTACTTAACTGAACTAGATATTGATTTCTCAAACAAGTCTCGTAAACCACCAGGGTCACCAAATGCAAACATCAACACAGAGTCATGGCAAAAGCCAATATATCTTTATGTTTAAAAGGGAAAAAAAAGCTCTCCTTTCTTTTTTTGTGCTCTTTGGCAACACTTAATATATATAATCTAATGGATGAAACAATATGAATTCTGAAGAGTTCAACTCTGAACTGATGGGTGACAAACCAGTTGGCTTTTTTCAAATTGCATTGGAGCAGTTTAACTTGATACTTTTGAGAAACAATTCAACTGAGTGGTAGAATGAAGGATTTGAATTTTTGAACTATACATTACTAATCTAGCTCTCAGTGGCTACAATTGGTGGGGGTAGGAGGGGGGGGTTAGGAGCAGAAGCAGCTTGAGTGCAGAACTTGTAAACAAGTTTTCCTTCCTTTTCCTGGTAGATATACAAAGCCTAAAGGTCAGCTACCAGATTATGAAAGCCCCGTGGTGTTGAAAAATGGCCAGTCATCTATTGAAGACTTCTGTAACAACTTACACAAGAGTATCATGAAAGAATTCAAACAGTAAGGCTTCCTCTTCCTAGTAATATATAAGCATACAGCATGAAGCTTTAAATCCAAACACTGTGCCTGTCATTACTTACCAGTAGTTATCATTTCTCTAAAATTTATCCCATACACTAGAATGGCTGAATGTTTACTTTTTCCTTCTCTGCAGTGCATTAGTTTGGGGTTCATCTGTAAAATTTAGTCCACAGAAAGTTGGTAAAGAGCATATATTGCAAGATGAAGATGTTGTTCAAGTAGTAAAAAAGTAAGTGCCTGGGGGTAAACTAATATGATTTTGTATTCTAGATCAGTTTATTTGCCCTGATTTCTGTTTCAGTTACAGTTAATGTTATGGTTATGATACTGCATATAATTTTTTGATTGACCTGGTTATCGTTACGAGTAGTTACATGCTTCTAATTTTGGCTTTCTTTCCCTACAGAGTGTAATGATGAAAAGAAAAACCTTGGGGGGAATGATTTCACCTGCTATGAACTGACCTGAGATGAGAAAAGCACCTTTTGATGTCATCGTTTTAGATGGAACTATTTTTTGAGCTGAAATGTTTGTCTATGTGGACAGAATGAATTGATCATCATTAGTCAAACTGATGATATTGATATCAAATGATGCTTAGTCAACTGAGAACATGGTGGTTGTTTCTGTTCACTACATAGTCTTCCTTTATAAGCACTGCTTGAAGCTGCAACTTTCTTGGTAGAAAAAATATAAAATGACTGAATATGCAGTGCAGGGTGAAAATTTGGCTACCTGTGTTTGGCAGACCAGAAAAAAGCCGTAACATTTTCATTATGTCAAGTTTGTGATCCAAATTTGAAATGAGATGAACATCTTCATGAAATATGGTTGATAGTCTGTTGTTGTGTCTTTGATGAATGTGTTGTTCTTTCTCCTTTGTTGGCCTTGAGATGTTGGTGAACTTCCATTAACAATTACCATCATGCTATTTGTTTTCCAAACTAGCACTCAATGGCAGTGTAGTACATAATGAATTATAGCCCACTAATGAATTTCTGCAAAATTCAATTGGCTACTTTACATTTCATGGCTAAAAATCATCGGACAGTTATCACGCAATAACCTCCTTCAGAATTAATATTTGTCCTGTGGGTATTTCTGTTGAAACAAAACAAAGCCAAGAGAAAGAAGCCAGGTGGAGAGTTTCCCATTTTCAACTTTCGTATTTTACATGGAAGAAAAACCAACTTTTTAAAGTTGAGTCCAGTGAGTAACATTAAAAGGACACTATTACTGGTCACAAATGCATCTCCTGAAGGTACAGAAAGATCAATAAAACATGCTGTCAACTTCTCTGAAGGGGAAGAAAGTTACCAACAGACTTTCAGATTTAGTCTTAGACAATCTTACAGTCATTTTATAAAATAGAGTATTAATTCACTGTATTTACTAACTATACATTAAATAGATCAACTGTACTTGTCAAACTTTAGCATTTAGGAAAGAGAGAAAAATCCCAGAGCAGTTTTTGTGCAATATAAACATTGAAGGGAGGGTTTTTAGAACAAATAAACCCCTTTCTGGCCTACTGGTATATAACTTTATATTCTCACAGAGTATTGCAGTAGAAGTTGTCTTCCAGTGATTCTTAACTCTATTCAGTAACAGATGACAGAGGTGAAGGGTCCTTGACTCCCACTCAGGGCTTGGGATCTCAAGAAAGAGCTTGCTGCACTTAATCAAGTTATTTTTAGAAAGACATTATTCCCATGCACAGTTTTGATTCATCACACACCTTTCTCTTGCATTGCCTCTCTATCCTAGTGTGTAAATGGGCTCTGATGAACTGTCAGGATGCTTACCCCTGAACACCCTGAAACCAATATTCAAATTATTCATGCTGTCCTCTCTACATTTACTATGGTACTTTTAAAGAGAATTGTCCAACAATCGAGAGCTTCTTGAGTTTGCAATTAATTCCTTTATTCTCATGAGCTAGATGCTTGATTTGGGGGTAGTACTGTTGGGAGAAATTAGAAATTCATCATTCTAATGGGGTACTGGGTATGAAATACACAGGCAACCCTGTGATGGACCAACATGTTTTTTTAGAGGACATTGTAATAACTTTCATCAGCGTGTTCTGATGTTTGTTATAAACTTTGTACAGCAAACTTGTGTACCAATTTTTATTCCTTATATTACATAAATATTACTATACTGCATTTGTAATTAATGTGTTAAAAGTATACTATGTCAAACACAGGCTAAAATTTAAGTACTGTAAGTTTGTAATGGAAATCACCTGGAACTAATACTTATGTTCAACATGCTCAACATGTTGACAAGAAATAATACTATTTTCCCAGTAAACTAACTGCTAACAGAAAAGAAGAAACCTAATCTAATCTCTACAAAAAAAATTGAAAATGCCTAAAAAAACACTTACAAAAGCAAAGAAATTTTGTCTAGAGATGGGATGAAAGAACACAGAACAAGAAATCCTATGGCATGTAGGAAACACATACCTTGAAAATCTGACGAGCTTGAGAAAAACTTACAAGTTACATCTGAACTAATTTTGTAGAGTGACTGGTTGTTTGTTATATCATTTTCTAGTTGCAACTTTGGAAGATGTTATAATTTTTAGTTTAATGTTAACTTTAAAAAAAACCTGTTATTGTAAAGGCCACTTGGCTTAAAAGTTTGACAGCATTACCGAAGATGAAATGCTCACATGCCAGGGGTTAGATTTATTTACAGTTACCTTCTTAATAATATGGGAAAAATGATTACAGCTGACCATAATTGCATCCATAAGCACAAGGGGAGAAATTCAAAAGCAAGCAAGTACAGTGAAGAATGTTGACGTAATTCTTAGCTCAATTTGTGTGACTGGACTACTTAGTTTCTTAGTAAATGAGCTATGTGAAAAGAGTTGCAATGTGAACACTAAAGAGGATTCAAAATGAGAAGAAAAAGACTTCAATTCTGTCCTTAAAGAAAACAAAAATAATCTTACATTGCATGTCCCTTGGGTCTAATTGCACCAGTATGAGTTAATTTTGCCTTAAAGCTTGTTTCATAAAAGTATTTGAGATTTCTTAGATAATCAAATAAGTGGAGCCATGAAAAAAGAGGCTAAGAATGCTGCAAACTGGAATATTTTTTGCAAATTTGGGCGGATTTTACAGTAGATAGTCAAAATATTACTCCATAGAGAAGGAAATTAACACTTAATATGAAGTATCCCTAAAGATATCTTCTACGTTTTCAGTAGCATAGGAAAATTTGCAAGTTGCAAGGCAACATTATATTCTACATTATCCGCTCTTGAACAGTTCTAAGCTTTACTTTTCAGGTGTATCTTCTGTGGTTTCTTGCTCTTTGATTTTATCATCATCAGTAACTGTACTTGTTGATTCTTTTGCTTCATTAGTTTCACTAGTCTTGCTCTCTGTTTCATTGTCTGTGTTTTCTGATTTATTTTCTTTGTCTTCATCATCATCATTTTCCTTGACACTGAGTCCTTCCAGTTCTTGTGCTAACTTGTTACTTTCTTGTGGATTTGTTGTTTTGCTTGTTGAAACATCATCCCTGGCCTTGACAAACTCTTCTTTAAACTTCTTAGCATCTGTGTGATTAAAATATTTCACCGAATGAAAAGGTAGAAAATGAGAAATTACACCTTTGACCTCATTAAAAAATTATAGAATTGCCTTAACCCCTTTGACCATGCAGGATTGTTGCTACACACTGGCTGATGCTGGATTTCTGACCTGCAATTGCTTGGTAAACCACTAATGACAGTCCCAAGGTTATCCCCCTTAAAAATTGTTTGATAATGAATGCTATCTTTAAGTAGCCTCACTTAAAATTTCAGCAGGCAACCTAATTTCTTAGCTACAACCCTGCCATGGAGATGCTCAGAATCTATTTTTTTCTTTTTTTCACAACAAACCAAACAGGAATGGGGTGTTCAAACCTGAGCACATACCTTTACGTAGGGATATGATTGCTTCTGGAATATCACAATTAAACAGGTAACTGTTATCTAAAACAGGAATATTTAACTGATATAAATACTCACTTTCTGCATTGGCAAATCTTATAGCCAGAGTTTCTGTTTTAATTTCTTCATCAGCAAAGTCTGGTGCTGTCCAAACCCAAGCTCTGTCACTACCACAATTTGGCCTTAATTCCATATCTTTAGAAACTAAATTAGAAAAAAAATAAGCATTCAACAAGTTAATTTTTCAAACAAGTAGGCTGGAGTACATTGATGAGACCCAGAAAATACATTTTTTTATCTGATAATCAATTGACTTGTTATGCTAAAACGTATAAATTTGATGTCAAGGATTGTTTATAAAAACGAAACTTAACATTCACTTTACAAAGCTTAATTGTTGAAATAACACCTATGCAAAAAGAGAGCCTGCTCATTGGTCAGGTGCCCCTTCATTGATAACAAACAGTACAGAAATTTGAATTGACTATTGACTGAGTTCATTAGCAAGTAATGAATTGATTCCTCGTGAAAATTGAAATGTGTATTCGTTACTTTTCAGACAGCAAAATGCACTCTCTCTCCCTTTCTGATTTTGAGTCAGAAAAAATTAGCCAGGCTTAGTTGTTCTAAATTGAATATTTAAACTCCTTTAATTTACCATGACGACAGTTTCAATACTTGTGTAACCGTACAGAGTAATTTTAACCGTTAATGGCGTCGAAATCATACTCACTGTAATGATTTGCACATATTTTGAACGTCTTGTCTCGTCTCATGAGAACTCTGTATGTTCCCTTATCACTATTTTTCAAAATCTTTATTTCACCGACTCCTCTCTCTTTCCATTCGTTTTCCTCACCGCTGGTTTCGAATCGGTACAGCTTCGCACGTCTGTATACAGGGAAAAGGAAAATTACGGCAAAATCAGCGAGCATGTATGCCGATCGACAATTTACGAATCTAGCTGACAACCTGGTACGAAAATTTGCGATTCGCAGCGACTTACAGTTTCAAGAGCAATTCTTCGTTTTCTTCCAGTGCTTTGAAATTGACATCTATCTTGGGAAGGTTGACGATCGGTTCAAAATGAACGTCAGGACTTGCGGGAGCTTCGTCAGATGTCTTTCAAGCAATTACATTAGAAGATTATTAACGCTTTCATAAATGATAATAGACACGCAGAAACATGGAAAAATAAATAAGCTACCTTTTCATTGCTCATTTTGTACTTTTGACGATAAGATGAACAAGATATAACAGGATTTTCCAGGCCGGTTTTCAAATGAGGCAAGAAGAAAAATTATTTCGCGCTTCAAACGTTGCGCAATGATGTACGACGCATAAGTGATTGCGCATCCCTTAGTCAGTGGGGTTATATCGTGGGCTCAGATTATCAAATTGGCGGGAAATTTATTCACGTCGGCGCATCGGCCATGTTTAAATGCACGTAGTATTTTCGCTTTCATGGATTCTGATGGCTTTCTTTCGGGAAGAGATAGGCGATAACCGGAAATACTTTCGCGTTCACAGCCTGTGGACGGTCTCAAACTCTGGTCACCTCAGTGTACTTCGAGTTCTAGGATGATACTAATGTTTTGGCCAAACTGTTTACCACTAGCTCGTGAGCGTTAGTGTAAGTATTGATATTTTAATCTTTAAAGACGATACATTCCTGAAATATCTTCAAACAACATCTAGCAAAATTTATACGTGTTGTTATTCCAAAACAAGATGGCGTCTATACATTCGATAACATTGGTCTCCCTCGGTCTGGTAAAATCATTCAAGCACGAGTCGTTTTACTAATCGCTGCGTCGCGTTTAGAATTGATTGACATTTACTCAACTAATAAGAATCAAAATAGCGGGTATTTTATCTCAAAAGGCACCAAACGTGATCAATGGTTACCAACCGAATGCTGCCATATACACCATGAGGACTGATTTGAGAATTAAACTCGGAATTTATGTGTCATTTGATACGCTTGGGAGGCAAACGTATTTTTTTTTGCCATGAATCCATCAGCCAGAGAAGAAAATTTAATATAATATTTAACCTCTTATTACACCAGGACCCCAGCCTATCAAGACTGCCTTGTCCCCAAAAGATTGCGCCAATTATGTGAGAGTTGATCAATTGAAAAAAAAATTTATTAATAGTCGATTCTGTAAATGCACTGTAATTAGACAGGCCAGGAGAAAATAAAGCCTTCATTTACTGGTGAAGGGGTCACGGATATTGCCATTATCAGAATTATGATTCTTAGAAAGGTGTCATGACTATAGAAGAAAAAAAAAAGAGTCAAATTGCAGAAGAGGCATCCTTCGCTTTTTTTTTCGCATCCGTATTTAGGTGAACTGAGGCGAGTGCCAGGGGAAGCGCACACCTCTCACACGTGACTCTCCCTTCTTGCTCCCCACGCTTTCGGCTCGTGCTTACTTCCGCCCTAAAAAGGGGCCGTAAGCAAAAAACCAAACACAATAGCCTGCTTGTAGGCTGAACAATCAGCGGTAATAGGTCTCAATAGGCGGAGGTAGGCCGCTAGTAACCTGCTTTTATTGAAACCCTTGCCTTTGGTCCTACAAACTAAGGTCTGGTTATTTAAACCAAGTTCAGCCGTTGTGTGACAAACCGCGTCCTAAACAATCCTCAATTTAATTGAACCTTTATCTGAACATTCATTTTTGTGAACAGTATAAAGAGGGCCGAAAGCTAACAGGGGAAGGACATTTATCTAATTAAATTAACCCTCTTACGGAGAAAACCTGAAAACCTGGGTTAGACTTCGTGTAAATAACCGGCCCTAAATGTTTTCTTAAAACTCTTGAACCGTCCTTCGACCTCCCGGCATCAATGATTCATAGTGCCAAGCAATATTGCTGAGCATGATACCTTCGTTATTTGACACTATGATTGCACATTGACAAAGAAACAGTTCCCTTTTTAGAAGTCTAAAAAAAGGCCCAAAGCAAATCTACTAGGAAAAGGAAAACAAAACTACACCAGAATCCCACAACTTTGCCAATGTTTACCTTCTTCTTGAACTTACTTAACTTGAAAACAAAAGAATTTTTTTATGCCCTTAACACTAGGAGTAAAGACTATTGAGTGCAAGATCATGCAAATATGAAACTGCTGAGCGGCACCATCATGATGATCCGGAAAGAGTCCAAAACTACGCAGAAATGTGACAAACAACTATCTTGCAGATCGCGAGTTCAACGTGGCAAGGAAGGAATGTAAGCAAAATGTCCTCTTTCAACCTTTCTTTGTTACCCGCCTGATCCTTGGCAAAAGTGATGTATTTCTTCGTAAAGTCAAATACCCAACATTTGACAATTGGCATTTTAGCTTGTTGACTAAAACATTTCATCGGAAACAATAATTTCGTAAGTAGCTTCAGCAGGTATTTACTAGTCACTAATTCATGTAACACAAAGGTTTTTGAAGAGTTCACCCTGAGGAGTAATGAAGCACTCACGGGGGATCAGTGAATTACCACTCGTTTAGATTCCTTTGCACCAGTTTACCTAATTACAGGATATACATTTAGGTCAGGTTATGTTTATGGCTTGGAATAGTATTTAGGCTATTAGCAAAATAAAGACGTACACAACAGAAGACGCACATCATTATAAAATGACCCATCTCGTCTTGTTTTGCTTACGTTTGAGCCTTTAAGTGTTTACTTGGCTGCCCAGAGACGTTAAAATAACATAGTTTAAATATTTACGCCACAAAGCTAAGAAATCCAATTGGCAGGAGGCTAGTAAGAAACTTCCGTCAAGAAATTCATTATTGTTTGATGATGTTCACTGATTCCTGTTAATTATTGCTGTTAAAATAAGTTAGCAGGTTTTTGTTAATAATAAAAACGTTTACTTTAGAGAATAAACACTATCGATTTCCATTGTCGAAACCAAACTGTCTGTCTGCTGTACCTCTTAACTGTCTGCTTTTAATCCTAAATTTAATTTTGCATTTGATCTAAATATCGAATTAAACCGAAGCAAGGGACAATAAAAAGTGCCAGAATCTCAGCTGGAATGATTAAATGTAAAAAGAATAAGAGCGACTCAGATCAACTCTTATTGAACTGATAACAATATTTTTATCTACGATCACTCGTAAACATTGAGATAAGTCAAGTGAAACAACTCTTGAGATGCTCGTTTGCCCAAGTCACGCATCTAATTTCTACCAGGAGTTAGATTAATTGAAACGGACTCAACATTCGTTATTCTTAAAGGTGTTACCGCATGGACTAATAGCAGTGGATTTGTCGACAGCTACCCACTCTGCTGTGTTTGATGAGCCGTCCTAAGGGTCTTAAAGAACAACTTCAGAGACTAAGAGATTTAACTTACGTTGTCAGGTAAGAGCACGATTGTCGAGTGAAGGATTTAACTATGGACGTCATAAAAACTAGAACAGGATTTTGTTTGTAACAATGAATTGCTTGTGAGCACGGTTATGGGCAAAATTCATCACTTAAACGAGTTTTTTATGGCCAAGAAGACGTTTTTTGGATGTTTATTTATATGGTTGAGGAATAATGAAATAGTCGGTGTATAAAGTGATTAATTATCGTTGTGTGGATTAACAATGTCTGCTCTCGGAGCTTCAACTTTATTCCAACATCTTGAGGGGTCTTTGTGATTATAACCTTCTTGTTTCACGCACTCGTAAGTAAAGTTGAAATGTAACAACTGAAATATCAAACGTAAGAACACTTTGGTAACATAATCTTTATTAAGTCCATGGTAACTTTGATTAGAGCTTTGTATTCCACCTCTTTCAAATTTATGGTCTTGATAAGAGCTACGTAAAAACGCGAAGACAAGAAAACGATAGTAGTATTTAGCATTGCAGGCATGTATAGCGGAACGGAAACAGAAAGAGAGCAATTGCTTTGTGACTTATGACCCTCACGCTAATGTGGTGAAGCAAGGTTTGTACAGGTAGGTTATTCTTGTGATACACTGTCATCGGACCTATCTATTCATACCTAACCCTACTCCCCTTGAGTGGCTTTACTGTGTACTATACAATGGCTATCGCAAAAGGTAGTATGTTTCACTTAAGTTTGTCGTTTATTTTTCAATCGTGTCAGAAAAATTGGCCCAACAAAATTCTTTTCACTTTCTTTTCACTCCATCTGCTTAGTTAGGTCTCTTAGTTTAAAGATGCTGTTACGATTCAGAGTAACTCACGGAACATTTCCCTTAAGCTTCTAAAGAGAACGCGATATGTTATATGAAAGTTTTTCAGGCGAAGGACTGAAGTAAGCTCGATATGCTAATGATAGTATACTTTGCGCCGGCGTGCATAAGGATACGTTGATAGTCGGAATACTCTCTTCATTTACTTTCGCTGGTGTGCATAACATCTAAGGAAAGATGATCTGTTCATATTTAATCAGCTCAACTATGCTTTGTCCAACCTGAAATGAAATAAATATGTTCAACCATCGTTAAATTAATGCTGAAACGTAGACAAATTTCCTTAAATGTAAAGTAAGATATTCTATCCAAAGACAGGCATGTCCTTATTTCTTTTTCACTTAATGATTAATTTAATGAATTAAAAGCCACAACAAATCTGCATAATCTGTTCTTTTTTTTAACAAGACAACCTTATTCAGACCACAATAAATATCGATCAATAGATGATAATACTTGAAATAAGTGTGTTGCGATAAATCTTGCACGATAACTGTTACCTGTGTCAGTTTGTACCTCGAGGTATGACTAATCTGTACTTAGGGTCCAAGCGACTCATTCTGTATCAAATTAACTTTCTTTCGAGGGACCGCCGTTATCGGTATTTACTTACACTGCCAGAGTGTGTATCAAATTTAGGACATTCACTACTATTAGAACTTGACATTTCAATGAAGCTCTAGAGAGTAAACAGTGGTTGATTGACTTGACATTAACGTTTCATTTTTCCTTTCCTTTTTCGTGATTCCTGTCTCAATAAAGTTAAGATGACAAAAGCAATATTTACCTATGAAAACCTGGAGGAAACATTAAGTTATAGAGTTTTGCTAAATTCGCGTGACTGAATGTATTTAGCACACTCGGAATCTAGAGAAAGAATTAATTATGTTGATATCTCACGGAA